TCTCTCCTCCTTTTTTATGTTTGTTATTACTCTCTTGTAACACCTCTAATCTTCGGCACTTATATGACCGTATTGTGTTGCAAGTCCCGTAAAACTCTTATTAAAAATAAACAGAAGAGTTGTAGTTGGTTACATTTTCTCAATTGTTCTTCAGACATCAGGCTTTTCTTTTTCCCTGTGTGGGGGGTTGGCGGGTGCTCTGGTGTGGTTTGCTCCTTCTCTTCTATTATTATAACTTTCAAACATCTATGATTCTATCGTCTCTCTCTCACCTCCTTCTATTTTGTGTTTGTTACTCTCTTGTAACACCTCAAATCTGCGGCGCTTATATGACCTTGTTGTGTTTCAAGTGCCGTTAAACACTTACTAAAACAAAGAATCAAATCTTCAGCGCTTGTATGACCTTATCGTGTTGCAAGTGCCGTAAAACTCTTACTACAACAATTTCTCAATGTTCTCCAAACATCAGGTTTTCCTGTTAGTGTTACCCTGTCATCTGTAGAACTATGGCAGCATGCAGCTGGCTCATATTGACATATAATAGCATTTATCATTTAATTGAAAACCTTTCCCATAAATCGTTTAGATTTTATAAAGAGAAATAGAAACACCGAGTAATGAATGTTTGTCTACAAAACTGAAATTGCCTGTGGGTTTATTTAAGTCATAATGAGTCATAATACCTTTCCATTTGCCCCAGCTTTCTCAGTGCATTTGCTGTGTTCGGTTATTTTTGTTTTTTTTGGTACTAGTACATTATGTTAATTAACTGTTAATCCTAAGGATTTGATTGAATACTAAGTACATTAGTACAGTGCATTTATTTTACTCTATGTTTGTTGTTTAAAAGTGTGTCACTCAAAGCAGACTTTGTGCTGTTGAAGCGTGAGAGGTGAGCAGAGTAAGTCTGATTCCCTGTACTGTAAAGACTTCTCTGTTGACATCCTCCACCCCTTGGCGCTCATATGACCTTATGCTGTTGCCAGCGCCGTAAAACTTCTACTAAAACAAACACAAGTACATGTACAGTGCATTTGTTTAGCTCTATGTTTGTTTTTGTAGTAGGAAAGTGTGGAGTGTTACAAAAGCTGTTCAGATTTTTTTGTCACATGTCCGTGGTTAGTGTGAACTTCAGATTTTTGTCACATGTCTGTGGTTAGTGTGAACTTCAGATTTTTGTCACATGTCTGTGGTTAGTGTGAACTTCAGATTTTTGTCACATGTCTGTGGTTAGTGTGAACTTCAGATTTTTGTCACATGTCTGTGGTTAGTGTGAACTTCAGATTTTTGTCACATGTCTGTGGTTAGTGTGAACTTCAGATTTTTGTCACATGTCTGTGGTTAGTGTGAACTTCAGATTTTTGTCACATGTCTGTGGTTAGTGTGAACTTCAGATTTTTGTCACATGTCTGTGGTTAGTGTGAACTTCAGATTTTTGTCACATGTCTGTGGTTAGTGTGAACTTTTGGCTCTGTTGTGATTTGACCTTTGTTGAACGTAATGACTTGGATACTATTAAAAAGTGATTGCTCGACAAGTTAAAAGTATCCTTTTGAAAGTAATTTTTGCTGTATTAATAATAATAATAATACAGTGGAGTCTACTTTCAGTTTGTCAGTATGTTAGTGTTTTAACGCCTATAAATGGCAGCTTGCATTGTGTGCTTCCCAGGAAGTTGAGCT